TGTGAACTGGGAGCAGCCCAGCAGGCTGCTGTTCCCTCCCTGCTCAGCATCTCTACCCTGCCTGCCAGCAGCGCTGTGCAAGCAGAGAGGAGGTCAGGTCCATCGTCTTGCCTGGATCGTGATGGGTTTCAGGGACCCCAAGGAACGGCATCGCATGCCCACCCATGCCAGCAGCCAGCTCCACACCAGGACCCAGCCAGGTTTGCACCGGCAGCATCACCCTGGCGCCTGAGCCCCGGGGACTCCATTTCCCACCAGCTTTAAGCAGTTCTGCAAGCAAACACAGACACATACGGCAGTTAACCTATCACTAAAATAAACCATTAGAAACACACTGGGCTGGAGGCTGCTCTGGTGAACCTGACGCCGCTCAAAGCACATGCTCAACATCAGTCCGGTTTAATATGGAAAAAATTTTAGGAGTACAGATTAATCACAGCAGCATCCCCATGGGGACAGAGGAGGCTCAGGGCTTCACAAAAACAGCACTGAAGCTAGGACACGGGAAGGCAGAGGAGCAGGGCTCTGTGGAAGCGCATCTTTTGCCCAGGCAGCTCACTCCAGCACCGGCACCCAGCAAGTCTCCAAATAAACGGATTGAGCAGGTGTAACCCCCCCAGCTCCAGCACTCAGACCCTCCGCAAACCCACCCACGGTGCCCACCAGTGGATGCCTTCACCGGGCAGATGCCACTCGAAGTCTCCAGGAGCTGACCATGGCCACGGGGAGAGGTCGGCTGCTCCTCGAGCCACCAGCACGTGGCACAAGCCACTCCGTAACTGCTGCTGAGCTGGAGCACAGCCCCAGAGGGCTCCGGCAGAGAGAAATGCTGCTGGGGCTGGAGAACACAGCCTCTGGGATGCTGGTGGGCATCCCAGAGAGGCTTAAACAAACTGCCTGTAGCCGCCTTCCCCAGGGGAGAAGCAGCACGTACTGTTATCGATCTTGCTTTTGGTTCAAGCACTGTGCTCTGCATACTTAAAAACCCTCCCTGCAGGTTCAGAGGGTTGAAGGATGCTTTTTGCTGATGCCTTGGGGTGCCGGTGCTCCAGAAGGTTCCACTCTTGTGGGAAACGAAAACCCACACGGGGAAGTCAGTCTGCCTCGAAGCAGGTGCCGGCATGCTCCACGTGATGAGCTTGGGTGGCCACTGGCACAGTGGCCTCTCATAAGGGCAGGTGTGGAGTCCTTCAGGTCCCCGGGATCGCCTGTTCCACGCCAGCTCACACAGGGCTCCCTCCTCACGAAATCCTGCCCACTCAGCACCGCACTCCTCTCACCCCTCCTTGCCCAGGCTGTGCCAGCCTGGCAGAGCCATCCTCCACCTCTGCTCCTCATAAACCTCAAGGAAAAACGCAAACTAACCCTGGAGCAACACACGGCCAAGCCCAAGCCCTGCTGCTCTCCATGCTCATGTCCCTTAAAAAAGCACAAAGCAAGGCAAAAGAAGAGCGCAGCTATTGCACACTCACACGCAGTTCGGCCACCTCCAAGCTTCACTGTAGCAAACACCATTCCCATTAAAAACCTATTTCTAGCAACACCCACAGCGCTGTGAGCTCTTCCTGACGCCCAAACTGGCTTCCTCAGTGTGTCCGCACAGCCCTCCTGCCTGCTGTCTGCTGCTAAATTATGAGATGGGAGCTTTCCCTGCTCCTTGGACGAGACTACGTAATTCAGCACAGCACTCTTCGTCTCTGTTCCTCTAATTATCCCTTTAATTTGTTGCTTCTTATTTTTACGTACCTCCCACTCCTCCCTCGCGGCAGATTGCGACTTGCTTTTCTGCATCTCCTCCTCGTCGCTCCTCACAGCCCCGCTGACACGCGGCGTCTTGGTCCTGGCGAGACCGAACTCTGCTGTGAGTCTCAGCCGGTATGGTGTTATCTGAGATTTCCAAAAGTTCAGAAGGGAGCAGAGCGAACGAGTGGCTCGCAGAGGTCTGGGCTTAAATTTAAGCTCCGCAACGGTCAGTCCCTCCACATTTTAGATCCTCGCCTGTAATGCAAAGGTCCAGCATGTCCCGCTCTGCCTCTGCCCAAACCTTCCTCTGTCATCCCGAGCATCACTCACCCAGGGGCGGTCCAAGCCACTTTCTCCCCATCTCCAGAGGGGAAGCACCTGGAGTCAACCGAGGCAGGCACCCAGAGCACACAGCGAAGAGGTCACCTTCGCAGCGAAGCTCTCTCATTTACATATGTATTTATTTATTTCTACTTGCTTCCTGCTGCTCCCCGTGGCTCCAGGGACATTTACATAATCGGATCACAGACAGCTGGACGGAAACCGCAGGCGCTGGCCCCGGAGCATCCATCCCTTCCCACTGCAGGCAGCGAAGCCCAGCCCTGCCCTGTCCATTGCCCACCACCCGGGACACGCTGGCCACGCAGGTCCCAGCCGGGAACGGGACCCAAGCGCAGAGCCCAGGGCTGCTCCTATGAGCCCGGCACTGCTCAGGAAGAGGGCAGGGGCAGACGGCTCCTGGGGGTTTGTCATAGCCGGCGGTTAGCACGTCTGAACCCCCCTAAACTGTTCCGGGGTGCAACTGAAAAAGAAGCGAACGTGGCGCAATCTTGGCAACAAACGAGCAACGCTGCGTGTCACCGTCCCCAGCCGCGGACGTGAGCCACAGCATCTCCTGCAAAAGCCAATCTCTGCTGCATGAGCAGAGGCGAGATGCCCTCGGAGGCAGGATTTGGCCACGCCGGGTGGAGCAGATCAGCGAGGTTTGGTGCTGGGGCCGGGACAGACCATGGACGCGGAGCATCCACACACCAGCACCGGCCGGTCGCTGCTGGCTGGGACCTCTCTGGGGAAAAGCTGGCAAGCAAGGGTGGTTTAATTTCTCCTGCAAGGAACTACCGGCCCATCAAAAGCACCCTGTGCTCCCATGGGATGCGTGGCCCTGAGAAGCCTGTGAGGATCAAGGTGGGCAGGAGCAGGGTGTATTTTCACCTACAGCCAGGAGATGGCTTGACTCCAACGTGTTTCCTTGTAGCAATGTTTCACGTTTCAATACAGAAGATTTCGGGACTTTTGCATTGCACAGAGCCACCTCCCACCCCACGAGAGACTCCCTGGGGAGGGTCCGCACAGCAGCTCACAGAAAGCATCACCCCATGCTAAAAAGATAAATCAAGGCGCAAAAAGGGATCTGTGCAGGAAAAGGTGAGCGCATAGCTGGGAGCACCAGCCCACCATGATGGGGTGGTCAGGCTGTCGGTCGCCACTGCTCCTGGTCCCCACAACTCTGCCCTGCTCGCCCTCCTCCTGCCTTTCTAATCCATCCCCCTCACAAAGCATCGCTGTTTCCTGGGGGTCAGTGTCCCCCTGCCCACAGCTCCATCACCTCCCCCCAAAACAACAGGCTCATCAGCAAGCTGAGAGCGCCGCAACCACCCCCCTGGAGCTGTCACTCCGCTCCTGTCCTGCTTCTTCCAGTTACAGCCTTTCCCCTTCAGACATCTCCTCGAGACGCTCAGCCAAGAGCTGAAGTACCAAAGGATGCTGTTAAAAACGGGTCTCTGACATCCACCTGAAAACACATGCCTCGCTCCCTCCTTGGCTCCTCTTACGCGCTCAGTGTTTTGGACAAACCACATTTCTGATGTTTTTAACCTGCGCAACAGGTTTTGTGCCATTTCCCACTGTCCAGATGGCCTCGCTCAAGTTTTTATCACGTTGCAACCACCACAACCTCCTCCTCTCTGGGCTGGACATAGCAAATATTGCTCTGCTCATCCCTTCCCAAAAGTCTGCTAGAGAAATCCACTCCCCAGCAATTCCCTGCCCACATCCCATCGACGGTCTGCCTCCTAACAGCAAACCTTGGCAGCGCCGAGGGCTCCGCCGTCACCTCCCGTCACTCGCAACGCGCTGCCATCCCTGCTCCAAAAACTTCAACAAACTCTCTGCTGGGAGAGCACTGCACAGGCATCCCCGAAGCTGCTCCAAAACGCAAGGCACCATCTCAGGAAGCCCCTTCCCCGCCATGGCTACAAAATCCTGTGAGCACGGATGGGGAGGATGCTGCAACCACAGGGCTCCTGAGTGCTCTCTGGCTCCTGCTGTGGATTAGTATTATTTTTTAAAAGCTCACATAAAACAACACACGACCTCCTTTTGCTCAGGGCTGGGACAGCACGGTGACAGCACTACTCTGTTCACAATTCCACAAGCTCTGTTAGGCTTATTCCAGGTCTGTTAGGCTTCTGGGTTGGGTTTTGTTTTTGTTTTTTTTCCTTTAAATATTTTATTTAGTTTTGCTCTCTCTTCCCCTCCCCAGAGCTCCCCAGGGAAAATAAGGCTCCCCAGGAAAGACTGTCTCACCGCAACGGAGGCAGATCCACACTCCAAACAGAAGCTATCCAAAAAATAATCAGAAAGCACCGTCACGCTGCACAAGGCAGGGAGCAGTGTCGGTGCCAGCACACACTTCGCAACCTCCACCCAACCAGTCTGGGAGAGCACAGCCAGCACGAGACAGCTCTCGGACCCTGAGGGGGTTAAATCTCCCAGTCGTGTAAAACAAGGGCAGCTTCATGGAAGTCAGCGAGGACGCGAGTGATGTGGGGACGCGTGTCTGAATCTGCAGCGGGCAACGGGCTCCAAATTGCTGTGCCAGCCAGAAAGCCACCCCCAGAACAGCAGAAAGCCCCTTTGCACTCCAAACCTCCACGTTACCTGGCTTTACATCCAAAATGTCCTGGTTTGGAAGATGTAAGGATGTAGCAGACCTGTGCCTCGGGGGGTTACACATGTCTGCTTCTTGGGCTGCACCTTCCCAACTTCCCATCCCCTCACCGCGGTGCTGAGCCGCACCGAGCCCGCGGCCATGCCCGAGCCCCGTGCCAGTGCACAGCTTCTGCAGAAAGCCGGCGCACAGGGAGAAAACGGGGCCGTGCCGGAGGGGAAAAAGGACGATGGAGGAAGAGGAGGATAAAAATGTTTCTCCCTCTGCCTCCTCTCGCAAACGCAGTGGCTCGGCCGGCAGCACTTACGTTGATCATAGCATTGGAGGTGATGCGGAAGAGCGTGGCTCGTTCGTTCACCGCCTTGATCTTCTCACCGCTCTCAGCCGGCAGCTTCAGGTTCTCCAGCTCGCTGAGCGAGCGTTGCAGGGCCGCCCCGTGCTTCGCGATCAGGTCATTGCAAGTGCTCAGATCCTCCAGCTTACTCGAGAGGGTTTTCAACGTGCTGTGCAGCTCACTCTTGTCTGACTGCGAGGCGGGCTCCTCATCGCCCGAGTCATCTGCAAAGGGAGGAGGGATGGAGAAAAAAAACAGTTTCCATGGTTACTCCCGGACCGTACTAACCCGCTATCACCGCGGGCAGGGGGACCTCCTGCCTCCTCCCATGTGCAGGCAGCTCTGCTGGGGCTGGGGGTCGCGGCCACCGCATCCCGCGGGGAGCCGAGCATGGTGTGGAGGAGCAATGCGGGATGTCACCCAGAGCCCCGAAGCGGCGTCTGAAGGGTTTCTGTGGCTGTAATGGGGATTTGGTTCAGGGCTGCTAAGGCTGAGCGATGTGGGGTGGCACGGGGGGGTACTGTGCTGGTGCCACCGGGCAAGGGCCACGCGGCAAACATCCCCTTTCCATGCACGGCCACGGGAGCCAGGCACAGCCTCAATGCGCCCTGCACCGGGAGCAAACCTCGCGGGGGCTCTGCAAGGTCTGCTTTGGGCGGGATAAATTATTTCACCCAAGGGAAAGGTCGCAAAGAGACAGGGAGAGTAACAGCCTTTACCCAAACCATCATCATGTCTTCAGAGGGCAGAAAACTCCACAATCAGCATCTCAGGTACAGCAGAAATGGGTATTCCTGCAACTCCAGAACACTTGGGTGACATAAAACTAGAAAACCAACCCAAAAGCAAGCAGCAAGTATAATGCAGCATTTCTTCAGATCATCCCACTGCTCCCCCGGGGAGGGCGGAGGAGGTGAGCAGCTCAGAGGCGGCATTGCCCGAAGCAAATACAAAAAGTGAGAGCAGACCAGGTCCTGCACAGGGTCTGCGCCCCGTCCTTACGTTCAAAGTTTAGCCAAGGTTTCTCCGGGTGCACCCAAAAACCACTAAGGCAGAAGAGCAGGGAGCAGCCCCTTCATTTCCCCTCCCCTCAATCATCTGGATTAATTCTGGATTAAAAAGAGATGGGGACCAGCAAAACCTGCCTGCAGCTTCTCTGCCAGGACTGGGGGAGCCGGGGGGACGAGGATCCTCCAAGCCAGCCAGGCTGAGAGACGCCACGATGCTGCAAAGCACAGACCTCAGGGATGCCGCAGTCAGAATGGGGGTGCAGCACATCCCCTTTCTAGGCTGCAAGAAAAGGAGTAAAGCCCATAATTCACTGATAGGTGGGTGTTTGGGTTTTACTCCTGACTCATTTATAAGACCTTTTGAAATGCTGTAGATACTGAGAGGGATGTTCAGCCATCGCTCATATCGATTCCACCGCTCTTGGGCCAGCTAAGGAAAATGAGAGAAAGAGGGCCCTTCATTTAACAGTACCAAAGCTATGTTCTTAAGGCAAGAGCCAGATCAATCTGGATAATATAGAAGGACCATCAGCCCGGAGTTGAGGCAGTGGCAGAGCACGGCGCGGTACTGCACCAAGTCTCGTGGCTATGAAACTACCCAGGACGGAGGTGATGGGACAAGGAAGCATAGCCCAGGGACAAGGCTTATCCTGCACAGCGGGACCTACCCAGCTGCCCAAGGACGACGGGAGAAGGAAATCAAAGCCCTGCTGGGAAACAGGGCACAGAGCAAAATGCAAGCGACTTCACAAAGCACCAGGGCAGCATTTCCCAATGCAATCATTTGCTCCGTCTGCAACCCAGCCCCGAGCATCCACAGCGCACAAACCGCTGACGAACACAAGGAGCGGTTGTTAAAGCCAGAAGATGAAGCGGCTTGTGGCCGCCAAGGACAAAGGACTATCAGAGCTAGCGTTCACAGCACCCACGGGAAGCCAAGCGAGACCTTCCCAAGGAAGGCGAGCACCCAGCCGAAGTGCTGGGAGCAGAGCTGGCTCCCACCGACAGGCTGGGGAGCTACTGAGCTGCATGGCTGGGGGGAACAGCCCCGCTCTCAGGGACAGGACCAGCACGTTGGAAATACACACAGCACCAGGGAAGTCTCTGGCACAGATGAAGGTGACAGGCAGGGGAAGGGGAACGGGAACACGCAGGATTCGAAGGGCTCTGTCGCAGGAGGGTGCACAGAGGTACCGTGGCAATGGGCATGGGCTTACACCACAGGCGTCTGGTACATGCCAACTGCAAAAGGTCTAGCAAGAAAATTTAAGCTACTTTTCCACCAGTAAGGAAAGTAACCAAAACGTCCCTAAAGGTCCGCTTTCTGTTTCAAATGATTCAAGTATTTCCACGGTGCCTTTCATCCTGGGGCACACAAAGGTGCTCTAGGTCCCTGGCAGCATATACACATCCCCCTGAGCTTTGAATATTATCTTTGTACCCGTCCTGAGCTGGTGCATCCAAAGGACAGAGCACACTGTACCCTGCAGTGCCCGGACACTCGCTGGGAGAGGGACACCGAACCTCTACTGCTGCTCAGAGCCATCTCCCTGAGGCTTTCCAGGGCGATCTCGGGCAGAGGCTTGAATCCATCCCCTTTCACAGTCTCCCATGCATCTCTTCTTCGCCATCAGATACAGAATCAGCTTTCACCGGACCTACTGCGCTGCAACACAGGTTCCACCTTGCAAGGCTCTGTCTGCAGCCCTCGCCTCTGATCGGGCTGTTAACCTGCTCCTCTGGAGCTGCAAGGTCCAGGCGCTGGTCCAGCAGGTCCATCCCGCGGCACTGCCCTCGTCCCATGACACCGTACACCCCGGCACCACACACACCAGTGGGCACCGATCCAAACACGGCCCAGGATCCCCGGCGTTCAACCTGCATGCAGGGTGGGAATGGGATGGTGGTATTTACGCAGCTCAGCCAGGCCACAGCCTCCTATTTCCAGTTGAAGAGCCCCTTGCTCTCTCCAGGCGCGCATCTGCGCTCTCCCCACGAGCATCCCGGCAGCCTCTCCTGGGCTGTGCGAGCTGCCTGCGCTCCAGAGAGCAGATGGGAACCACTTCTTCATAGCATCCTGGACCTGATCCCTAATGAGGCTGATCTTCAATGGCCAATTTATAACATATTATAGTGTTTTATAAAACTACCAGAAGCAGAAGCCAACCACACTAGCTCAGCTTTCATCGCAGACACAAGCCAGGCATCTACCACCACTAACTATGTCAAAAACCAGCATTACCTTTGTGGGACTCAAGGGGACAAACCAAATTTGCAATTTTTCTATTTGTAGTCATCGGTAATACTTCCCAAAAATAATTTTATCTGTTTACAAAGACTGCAAAAATTGTGCCAAGCAAGAGGAAGCATCTCTCTGCCTGTCCCCAGGCAGTATTTAACCCCCAAATCCTTCCCTCTCGTTTTGTTTTCCCCTCTCTCTGTATACAAAATGCCTTTTCCCAGGGCAGCACCACAGGGCCGCCCCAAAGTCCTGGCTCCTGCGGGCTGTCAGTGCTCCATGCTTTCAGGAGCAAAGCCTGGATCACCTTCCCCAGGTGCAATCCCAGATCACAGCCTGGGGATTTTTGCCTATCATTAAAATGCTCTGACACAGGGACAGCACTGCACGGCAACAGACAGGCTCCATCCTTTGCCAGGGCATTATTTCCTGCCCATCGCTGCCCATTTATCGAGGCTGCGGTAATGATCCCTGCCTGTGTGCTCAGCTCGAGGCAGGAGGCATGAACGCAGCGTGGCCCATTTTTTTATCATTGTGCAGAATTATATAAATGCCTCAAAGCCCAGGAAAAAGGGGGAAGGCACCTGGGTCAGACCATGCTAGTCGTGATGCTGCTCGTTCAGGCTGAGTTAGCTGAGCTAAACATCCCTCACCGGCTCGCCCCCTGCCCCAAAGCTGTTTTCGTGGCCGTGCCGGGACGCCGGTGGGGTGGGCAGCAGGATCCCACCACCTTCCTCCTCCTGCCTGTGCAAATGGAGGAATAGGGTGTCAGACCCTCTGCTGAGGCTGCAGACTTCAAACGGGATCTTAAGGCTAGAGGGTCGTGGTGCAGCGATGGGGGAGCGATGTGCAGTGCTGCCTCAGGAGCGAAAGCACACCCAGTGCAGAGGACGGAAAACTCATTACCTCCCTCCATCCCTGGTAAGCGCATCCCCGTAACCGGCACTGCCTCCACACCCACAGCCCCAGCGCTCAGGACACACGGAGACCTGGACCAATTCATGCTTCTGTGACTCATGGTAAATAAAAATATCTCAAGCAACATAATTTTCTGTAATTATCTCAAATCAAAGCACAGGAAGAAGGAAATACAGTGTCATAGCGACAATCAAATCAGATCAAGTTAAAGCAGAAACGATCACGCAAAGCACCAAACAACCTCACTGCTATCCCACCAGGGCGAAGCACTGACACCGGCTCTGAAGATGTGTTTCCAACCCACGATCAATGCCAAAACACCTCCCAGTGCTGAAATACTCCGCTCCTTACCATCCTCACAACACCAGCACAGGCCGAGCAGGATCGACCGAGTCCCCAGAAACTCCTCCTCCCTCAAGGTTTTTGGACTATGAAAATAGCTATTTGTGAAATCCTGGCTCCGTGAAAGCCAGGAGGTTGAATGAGGTGTTGGCTTTACCTACAGGTGCAGCACTGGGAAAAGCATCCTAAAAGGGCCAGGAAAAAGCAAAACTGCAGCCCCACAGGGACCACCATCACGAGCAGAAGAGCAGCATGTGCACTTAACTATTATTTTTTAAATTATCCTCATGTTTCCTCTCTTCCATCCTTCTGCACTTGCTCCACACACACACTCACCAGAGACTTTGGCATCCTCCAGCGCTAGGCTCCTGGCAGCATGCTGCTCTCCAGCCCAGGGAAGGGAGGCCTGAGGACCAGCGTTACCATACCTCTTTCTTCTGGGAGCCCGAGGGAAAGCTGACCGAAGCCAAAATAAGCAGAAATACAAATCTAACTCGCTCCTTAAGGAACCAGCAGCCTCTCAGATCTGCACCAGCTTTGGTCCAATGGCTTGTGGGTAACAGCAGCCCCAGATCCGAGCAGAGGAGCCCTGCTTCCATACCATCTCCACCCAGCTTTTCAGCTGGTTTCTTGGTACCACCAGGACAACCACTGCAACGGGAACATTCCCGCTTGTCCCTGCAGCACAGCCAGAAGGGTGGGGAGAGGGTTGTCC